CTAATTTTGCAGGCAATAAGATTTGTTCGTAATGTGAAATGAAACTGAGGAGTTAAAGGATGCTGCTTACAGCAATATTGTAGATGCAATTGTAAACAGATACAACTCTTATTATTTACATCTTGTCAAAGACGATAAATTGCAAAAAAAAAAGATGGATGAAGGAAAGGGATGGAAAGAGAGAGACAGAGGCAGAGAGAGCAATAAGCTTTTCACTTGAAATCCTTAGAAAGTAAGTACTTTTGCTTTAATATCTTTATAATAGTAGTCGTCGTCTGCTTTTAAAACTATACGACAATTCTTCACCAGAAATAGTTGACAAAATTAACAGCACACATAGACATATACACAAGACCGAAAAACACTCACACAGACATGGACAGACATATATATATTAACACAACTGGTTGTGTTTCGAATTCGATGAAGCAGCATTTCATTCGCATTTCAAATGATGACGGAACTAAGCTAGCAGAGAACCTATTACTACTAAAAATAAAGCAAAGTTCTAGTTTCATGTCACAATTTAATCGATGTCATCTGCCATCTTTATTGTCATCTTGACCTCCAATCCGCTTTTATCCATCTTTATAATTGTCATAAATCTTTCTTTCTCTTTCTCCCTCCCCCTCGCCTCAGGTATTTTTAATTCTTCGTTCTGTTGAAGCTATTATAATAAATGAGCGCAACTGTTTGCATAGCAAGATAATAAAGAGTATAGTGAAAGGGAAGATTAATGAGCAGACAAACACACGGACATACACTATTATATTGCAGGAGAGTAATATTGAAAATGGTAAGGGATTTGAAGTCGAAACTTTCAGTAACTACCATAAAATTTAATCGCTGTATCATTTTCACCTTCCTTCCTCTTTCTCCTTCTTTCTCTCTCCCCCTCCCTTTCTCTTCAACATGTATTTTTATCCGCTTCCCTGAATTTTTCAGTCTATATATAAAAAAGGGGGTTAATGTCAAATATTTCTAATATTTTTGTATAAAAAAAAACGAAAAAAAAATAAGAATTACTAAATTGTATCAAAATTAATGGAACGTATGAATAGGAAGAGAAAATAAAAGAAAAAAAGTTAAAAATAGCTTCTTTTTCTATCAAAGAAAAAAAGAAAATTACTATATATAAGCAGAAATTATTTTTATTTCATTCCTTTATATGTCATATAAGAAAAGTCATGAAAACAATAGACAAAATAAAAAGAAAAAGAAAAACGAAATCTATCTTTTTTTTCTTTTTATTACTTTGAATTAGTTTTTTTTTTTTCACAGATTAAAGTGTTTTATGAGATTTTAAAGTCAGCTTAGCTAATTTTTTTTTTTTGAAGAAGAAATATGAAAGGTATCGAGTTCTTTCCTTATCTGTTTTTTTCCACTCTTTCCATCCCCATTCATCTAACTTTTATCAGTGACGAGAATGACAATATTTCAATGAATATTTCGTACAGAAAAGAAAAAAAAAAGGAAAAAAAGAAAGATTTCGTTTTTCTTTCTTTTTTTGTCTATTGTTTCCATGACTTTTTTTATATGATATATAACCGAATGAAATAAAAAGAAAGGGAGGAAAACACGTAGGCTACAAATGATAATTTTGAATTATTGAAATTCCGCAGGTAATTAGGTGTAAAATTTCATTACATGAAAAATCTGTTTTGCATGACAAAAATCAAATGTGATTACAGGATAGAATTGAGCAATAATATTGTTGCTTATATGATCAGCAGAAAGTATTTAAAAAACATAAACACAAATAAAAGAAAAAAGACAAAAAAAAACTAATGGCTATGAATTTTCCACTTATAGCAATATTATTAACTGAACATTGTGAGAAAATTATCATGAGCGCATTTTTTAGAAGTTATAATTCTCCTCAATTTAAAAATAAGAAAACATGAATTTGTCAAACATATTTATCAATAAACGAAAAAAAGCATTTCAAATAAGAAAGATTAATTTACAAATGTTTAAAATTTAATAACTCACATCACAGTGTTTCTTTCAATCCCGCAAAGCAGAAATAAATGAAAAATGATTAATGTTGTTTGAAATAATATTATTTCAATTCTTATTAATTTCTCATACAAATATTGCTCTTGAAAGATTAAAACTTTGAAATTCTTTTTAAACTTATGCAGTAGTTTTATCATTTTTTACTACTTATAGAAATATTTTAAAGTTTTTATAATTTCAAATTATCAAAACTGATGGTGTGCAGAAAAATGAAACAAATTTTTTCAACAGTAAAATTTATTTAATTTAACATTAAATAACCTCACTGACGAACAAATCATGATAAGCAGGTAAACAGGATGACTTTGAAAAGGTGTAATTTAAGGATAAGTTTAGTTTTCTTTTTCCTAATTCACATTTTTTCGAATATTCATTTCAAAAAGTGCAGTGTAGCATGTCTAGTCAAATATAAGTTCAAGTCTACAATAAGCCTGATGGCTAATTTGATGCTTTTCACACCTCTAATGTCCAATTGTTTTCTTTCTTTTTTTTCTCTAAAAAATTTCTATTTATTTGATTGTAATGATATAAAGAAGATATAGAAAAAACGCATGGTTACTAAACCATATGTATATTGCACAGCTATATGCTTAAACTAATCCTATCAAGGTCAAAAGTCATTCGCTTAAGAATATCGGAAAATTGTTGATGGGAGAGATGCATTAATGTAGCGTCGTAATGTTAGATGGAATTATGTCAGGGATATTAAGTACAGAAGCAGTGGTAATTATGAAAACGATAACTCTTCAGAAGAAAACTTCATATTGGGAAACAAAAAAAAAACCTACCAAACAAAAAAAAAGATCCCGAAAAAATCGATTAGCAGAAAGAAAGAGGGTCACCGTGACCTCGACCACTCGATCGACCACTACTAACAGCTCCTAACTATTGCGTAATTATAGCATGTTGTGTCATCAAAACATGAATAGAATTGATGTCGGGAATAGAACATTACCATCAACTATAAGTGTTCGAATGGTAAGTATCAATTCTTGAAAATTATGTAATTTCATGTATTTATTTTTTTTCAAAAACTTGGGACAAGCAAATTTTATGCAAAATTCATTTTTTTTTCTTTAAATTTTTTGAAAATTCTTAACAATGAAGAATTAATTGTTAGTAAATATTATCATATTAATTTAACTTGCACGATTTCTAGTCAAGGAATTAATTGGTAAATGAATTACTCCGGTCAGGAATAACTATTAATGATTTATATCAGTTGGGTAAGTTAAATTAAAATGATGGATTGATGTATTCATTTCCAGAGTAATTCATATTAATTTGCATAATTATCACGAATAATTTTAGTCAATCAGAATAATTTCTAAAAATAATTTGACTTGATTGGAATAAATTGCCTGATATAATGTCAGGGCAATAATTCACCATTAACGTTTTTCTTACTCTTTTTTTTTCTCTCTTATTTTTTAGTTTTTTCTTTCTTATGATATTAGTGATAATGATAACTGGATGATTAATTTCTTAAGATGCTATAATTCATTCAAGTAATATTTGTGGGTAGAAAGTGAAAGATTAAAAAAGAAAAAAAATGATGACGTTCATGATTGATTTTTGGGATGATAATAATTTAATCTATCTTCATCATAATATCTATCAAAATTGGACTAATTTTTATCATCATATATTCCATCTTTTTCACTTAATTTTTCAAAATATTAGTATTAATATATGCTTCTTTTATATATTGATATTTCATTAAATTAATAAAAAAATCCCATTTTGAATAATATGATCAATTGTTTGCTAATTTGATCCAATTCAGTAAATTTTCATAATTGATAAGCTTAAAAAAGATTTGAGAAAAGGAATTTTATCTTAATTAAATCACACAATTCCAAAAATATCAGAGATATTTTCGAACAATTCCGAACAAAGATTTGAAAAGGATTGAATATTAATAAAAATTGAAATTTTAGCTAAGAACTGAACTTAGAGAAAAGAAGAGATCAACAAAGAGGAAGAGAAAAAAACAGGAAAAAGGTCGTAGAGCCATAGAAAATATATGAGAGAATTAGTCGAGATTGCTGATATCAACTTTTTGTTAACTATTTCATAAAAGAGAACTGATATCGTTTTATCAATTTAGATGATACGAAAGCACCAATATTTGATGCTTTAACAAGTTTTACCTGTAAATTTTAATTTAAGTCGTTAATTTAAGTCTTATATTTTATATATTTTAAAGCACTCTGTCCATTCATTACCCATCATTCCCAAAACTCTTACATTTCCAAAGAAAAAACTCGTAGTACTCGAAAACAAGTTAATAATCTGTCTTCTCGTACTCCCTAACAATTTCTTCCCAATGCGATGAAAAATTTTCAAAGCAAATTTTTTCAAGGGCCGCGCTTTACCTAATCACTGTTGTGTATCTTTTCTCGCATACGTATTTGAATTTGAAGTTTAAATTTGGTAAGTTTTAGGAGGGGTGGCTTTCAGGATTGTCTGGTATCGTTTGGAGATACGGAAATTGGTGTTATCCAGAAACTGGAATCATAAATGTCTTCTATATTTACATTGTATGAAACATTTGACCTATGTTGACTATCGATCTTTTCTTATGAAAACACTTTAAAACATACACTTTAGTATCGTTTTTCGTTACTTCTAATTAGTTAGACATAAAATTTATTTGAGAATTTCCATTACGCATATGTCTGTTGTTAAGACGAAAAGTTATATTTTTTTTTAACGAGAGCAAATATATATGCAGATTCCATTAGCATCTTTATTTTATTATTGTAATTCAGAGTGTGACAATATAACATTATCAAAAACGCATCTGTGTTTGATTGGAAATTTTCAATACATAAACCACTTAAATGAAATCATACTATAAGATGCATTTCTGTCTGTTAATATATTATGCAAGGACGTTTTTGAAATTGAAGAGCTTTCCCGTATGCACTCGGATTTTTCGGATAAACCTTGATAATTTTCAGGTTGATGATCAAACAATGAAAGCAATGGAAAGGGAGGGCGCTGGCCGGAGAAGTGTAACATATAAGGGTCATTTTCAATGGCCATCTAAAAATAGCATATTAACAACACCGGAACGGAAACGTTCAAGACGTTCTACAAGCTTCGCTGATTCCGGTTTAGGTTCATCCATATTTGGTTCACCTCCCTCGAAATCAGTAAGCTCTGAAAAATTTTTTTCATTTTCAAGCGAGTTTTGAATTCTACGTTTTACTCAGGATTCAAAAACAAGTGTGGAATTCTTGTTTTCATACCAGTGTTGCGAAAAAATATATGTGAGTATGGTCGTAATACGATGCAATAAATATAAGGAGAACTAATATTGTGAACTGTTCAATTACGGAAACCTTAGATTAGTTCATCATTTCAGGTTACTATATCAGACACTGCTCCTATGTTAAAGACACCAACAAGGAAGAGGTCACCGAATACGAACTCACCCTCCTTACAGTCACCACTAAAGCAAGTTTTAGTATTTTAGTACTTGCTCACTGATCATTATATTGATGAAGTATTAGCTAAGAAGTGGTGCTGAATAAATTAGTATTTGAAAAGGCAATGTGCAGATGACGAACTCTAGCTGCTTCAAAATGCTGAAAATATACGTTAATATCACATTTTTTAAACTTAGCTTGTGAAGTGTCCTTCGTGTCGTAATAGTACTATACTTCCACTTACTCTCGCTTAACTGGAAATACCTGTATTATGTGTGAGTACCTTTTGACAATGCTGTATTAGGTATCGTATGGTTTTTTACAGTTGGCTTTATATGTAAAATTTTAGATCTTTTCTTCATGTGTCTGCGTTTAGTGATGCCTTCTGTCCACCAGAGAACTGTTCGCCTCCATCGAAGTTCCGTTTATCGGATCCAGATAGTGCTGTTGGTAAAAATTTTGAATTTTAATAAAAGCTAGGGTCTATTGACAAACTGATGTGAGTGGAGAGTTATAAGACGGTTTCCTGAGATTTTCTTCGATGTGCTGATGTTCAGCCATCTAACAGATTGCGTGAAACTTTAAAATGTTCTGTTCATTGGGTAAACTTAAGTGATATTAGCGAGAAAACACAGAACACGAATTCAAAAGGGTATGGCATGAGAATATATAGTGCATGGATAAGTTCTTCATTGTGTCATGCTGAAAAGAACATCATATGTTGCATCTAGAACTGTGATCCAGCCATATTGTGCATATAACTAGTATTAAATCAGATAGTTCTTTTGATATATCATCATTTGTAATGTTTATTCGATTAAGCAAATTTAATGCAAACAAGTATGTCTGGACAAGGAATCTTGTTCGTTGTTCACATTTAGCAAATTTTTATCAGTCATTGGGTTTCTAATTTCTTATTTCCTAATTCGTTAAGTCAGATTTGAGAGTGATTCTTTCTTTACAGAATACAGATTTAGTGGGATAAGTGTGCCAGAAAATGAAACACCTATCAATATGGCAGACGATGCATTGAATGGAGCGATACCATCTACTTCTTTCAAAGACTCCTCTTTCCGGTCAGCTGTAATTCTCTTGAAACTCATTTAGCATGTTCCTTCAAGACATGAAGTTGTATGTTTCATGTTTTGTTTTAGTAATAGTTTGATGACAGGAGGTTGCTATCAGTTTCAAACGGTTAATTTCCAAAAATTATTCTGGAGTATGTGTCGCATTATTTCCTTTTAAATTGAATAAACTCTGTTTTCTTGTATCTTAATTTTTTTCAAATTTTTGTTTAAAGGAACTCTAAAAGAGGAAAAAAATGGTACTGTTTTTTCTAAATTCAAGGTTTAATGTTTGTTTCAGGTCGTCACTTGATGATGAGAATGATGATAGCATAACGGACTCTGCTATTTCATATGGGATGGTGGAAACACCAAGTAAAGGATTTAAGAACGAAATGGTTTGTAGCATGTTTTTGTGATATTATGAGAAAAAAATATGGCTTGTCATCTTCTGAGTGACATTCTTGTTCGAGTCCGAAACATATTAAGTCATAAGATGGAACTTGAATTTTTTCCATTTTAATGACATCTTTTTTTACTTTCAGAATATGGTCACGGGTTTTATTGATGACAACTTTTCATTGCTTACATCAACCCCATTGAATATCAGTCCAAATGATGACATTTCAAGGAGCCATGGTTTCATACCCTCACATTATACAATTCCTGAACAAGCTAATGGTCCGCTGGAAAGCAGGTACGTTGACTTTCAATTCAGACAGTTTTCTGATTTACAAATAGTTCAAAATCATGATCTGCGACATTAGAACACATGCTGATACTTCTGAACCATTCTGCAGTGGTACTCAAGTGATATTATTCGCTGAACGTTTCGTTTCCATTTTGGTGACGTGTCAAAAACTTTTCATAAAAAAAATAATTGGGTTTGTACCTTTCGAAAGGAGAGTTTCACTTTAATTCTGAAACAAAAAATTGTTTTGTATTTACTTTCTACCTTAATGGATTACCTTAATTGCAGTTTGTGTGAACCGGTCGATCAGTTTAGATTACACACTGCTGGTTTTTTATCTCCTGTGAAAAGCACTGATACGGAAGCTATAGTTTTACCAGTAACGAGGATAAATCAGCTAGAGAAGATAAATCTTTCGCAACAAAGGGTTTGCATTATATATATATAATTTATGCAGGAAACATATACAATAAAAAATGGGAAGATTACCCTCTAGAAACTTCGTTTTTCAGATTGAACACTTCTATCCAAGGTTTCCAAGTAATTCAGCAGCTGCAAATTTAAATCGGGTTTATCTTCGTGAAACCAACTACAATAACAGGCCATTCAGGCCACCAGCAAAAGCGCTTAAACTGGTAAAACTTTAGTTTTTGTTTACTTCTCACCTCTGTTAGGCAAGAAAAGAATTAGTTTAGATATCATATTTTAAACTCAATTTAGGATCTTAAATATAATTATAGTTATGCAAAAAGCACGAAGTTATCACAAATATTTTATTTCGAAATTATCAGTTGCCTTTCTTGTATTGTGCACTGAAATCCAATTACTTCCAGAACTCAAAAAAATGGTTTCAAATAACTTGCGGGGAAACACCTCATCAGGTAAATTTGAATATGTTGTTAAATGTGTAGGTCTTGCTTGTAGTTTTATTGAAACTTTGCCACTGTATGCGCGATAATTTTCAAGTGTTCATTTTTGACAACTCGCCGAATGTTTAGTTCACCGAAATTCTATTTTCAGATAGAAATGACTCGAATGGCTAGAATTTTCCTAGAAGGTAGTCAGCCAATTTTTCCACAGTGATTGATACAACATGACTGCCAACGTACTAGTCATCCATGTGATATCAGTAAGCAGTCTTTATACCAGCTCACTAAGTTTTTGTGAAATCTGTTCATTTAAATATCTGACATGTATAAAATAAGAGTCATGTGATTATTCCTTCTATAACCTAGTTATACATTCTGTTTTATAGTGGAAAAAGGATCTCAGCGGTTATCAGTACCTCAGACTTAAGCACCTGCCATTTTATGAATTGATTTAGGTTTTGTTTGTACCGCGGTATTGAGATTAATTTACGGTGCCTTGGAAATGCTTTGGATCTAGTTGGATTGATTTTAATAATATAAGCGCGTGCATACTTTAGAACAAACTTTTATCCTTGCTGTTGTCTTTAACTTTAATGATCAGTAAGTCTTTTTTACTTAACTTTCAACTTTTCTCATGCGGTATTAGCAGCTTAACATTCATTCGCGACTTTCTGATTCCTTGACTAGTTCTTGTGTTAGAAGGATCGAAATTTTACGAGAATCTGTAGTGTTTCTAGAAAAATTCGATCTTTTTGACACTAAATTGAATATTGTTTTTTTGTGAGTTTATATTGTTTTTGTGTATATTTGTTGAAATCAGAAAATTGTATGTAAACTTACTATGCTGCATTGGGCATAGTAGACCATGATTCAGTAACTCTCTAAAAAATAAGTTTATCGGACAGAAAACTCTTCAAATTGAATGATCACCTAGATATGAAGATGGGAAGTAAATAAAATTTGGCATCCCATCACCTATTTTCCTGTGAAATATGCAGAAACTGTTGTATTTTAGCCAAAACTCTTTCTCTTAGCTTTGAATTGTTAGGTATCTAAGGTAACTATTCTTTTCATTAATCTTCATCCTTTTTTTTCCAGAAGTTTTAGATTGCATAGTCTGTGTCTCAATTTTTTCCTGTTTCCTAATTTTCACTTTTCTGCTATCCTCACTGGATTATTTCCAGTAACATGCATTTTTCCGTTTTAAATCTGCATAATACATTTGTATGGACTGCAGGAACATGCACATTTTAAAGTTTTTTGGAAGTTTTCAATTTGTTGAAATGTCTTGTACCATAAGTCGTTGTATTACTCCAGTTTTCTTTTTTGATTTTATGAGCATTCATTCCTCATATAATTTTAATCGTTTTATCCATGTATCGTATTCCGTTCTCTTCCATTCTTGCAAAATTTATGTCCATTTTCTTCATTTCCGAAGCCTATTTTCTAACTTAATAGTGATATGGTCTAATCATAACTATCTCAAAGCATGCATTTTAACAGTTTTGTAATGTGTGATTCTTAAATATAATCAAAATGTTATTATTTGTTTTCGCTACATAACAACGTAACATTCTGAAAGTGAAAATAGTGCACAATGATTAGAATTTCTGAAAACCGTAAATGTTTTATATTGGTATTCTTTTTTTTTTTTTAGGTGAGATGTTTTGGGGCATTTTCAGACTTGTATCCTATTTTTTAAATTGTCCATTCTTTATCTCCTTCCTTTCATATCATCATCCGTTATATGCAGATTTTTGAGTGGGAAATATCATTGCTTTATACAGTTATCATTATCTATGTGTGCAACTGCGTTCCATCACTCCATTGTATATATAGTCTTCAAATCACCTCATAAAATGGTCATTCCATCATTTCATTTTCCTGCATTTTGAAAGTTTTAATTTACGATGTTTTCGTGTTTGGTAAGATTTACATGTTCTGTGAGTTACAGTGTTCATGAATGAAATTAAAATTTTGGAAAAAGTATCACATCACTGATAATGATGCATGACTTTGGTATCTTTTTTTCATTTTTTTGCTTGTAATCGAAAGCGACAGCGTAATACTTGATGGAGTTTAAAACTCAAATTTGGTTAAATAGGAGTTCTCTTAATGTGGAGAAAAGTTTAAGGTATCTCAGGAACGAAAAGATAAGGACTAATATATCAATATGTCTTATTTAATTCTGATAAATTTGCCGCTTAATTTGTTTCCTCCATCCCAAATTTACTATTTGGTGTAAGTAACTAACAGGGAAAAGAAAGAAAAGTTGGATTCATTATACCTTATGTAACATTGGATATCACACAAGTTGGAGAATTTTAATATAGTGCCTAAAAAATTCTGTGCTTTATCTTTCTTAAAAAAAAAAAAAAAACTAATTTTTGCATAAATCCAATGGAGTTTTCATTTGTTTTTGAAATCATTAATAAATTTTGAAGCATAACAGGGGGAGAAAGTCTTCCGTCAATAATGTATAATAGTTTTCAGTTAATCAAGTATAAAATAGAAAGTATCAATTAACTCATTCATGCATTACATACACTTATAAACAATTTAAAAAATTTGGTTAATTGAATTCCTTCCAATTTTGTTACAATTTTTTTTTTTTTTGAATGCTTAATTGATTTAAAACGATAACAACATACAGTATCATCTTTGGAGGGAATAACAAAAGGGATTTTTTTCTTTTTATGCATGCTTCAAAATCTATCAATTTTTTTTTCTTTTTTTGTTTCTGTTTAAATGTGGAATTTCTATGCTATTCTTTCACCATTATGAAATGATTTATTCAAAAAAGTGAAAAAAAAAGTACGGAAATACTTTCCTCCTGCACTCATTTTTCATTTTATTCATATAATTATGTAAATGCATTAATAAATGATATTACATAAATGGAATTATTTCTTAAATGAAATGAGTTAGTGATAGGAAATTTTACTAAAATTTAGCAAATTTTACTTTTAAATCAAAATATGAACAAAATTGGGGAGATTATAAAAAATCAAAGATAAATCATCTAAGTCCACAAATTATAAATTTCAATAATTTTGCTGAAAATCTAATTTTTATACTAAAGTTTAAAATTTAATTCAGCTCAAAATAAGTCAATAGATCAAAAAAAAAAGAAGTAGCTCATAAATATTTAAAAAAATGATTTTATATAAATCATTGCAAATAATCATTATAAACAATCCTACACTGAAAGAAAAAGCATTTTACAAGTGACATCAAAAAGTATAACTGCCATTAAAGTTAATGAACACTTAACCGAATCCATTCGTATTACTTTGGGAAATTAGTAGAAACAAATATTGTAATCTTTCAATAAAATATTCTATTAATTCAAAACGCGATGAGTACGTTCATTGATTATTTATCAACTTTTTTTCTTCTGAATAGAAAGATTTCATATTAAAATTTCGTAACACCTTGAGATTACGACCTTAAGATCTGCAATAATTCTTCAGTTATGATCGTTTGAACAAATCCAGATTTTGAAAGGAATATTAAGGCAATTCATCTATATCTCTATAAACATCTTTGTTAGTTAATCATCTAAGAGACTTTTATGCGCAATTACAATTTGTCATTGCATTGCGCACTCGCATCTTCCAAATATTCTCAAGTTTATTAATACTGATGAAACATCGCGTGTTCATATCCTCTAAAACCCTCCCAACTCATTAATAAGGAATTTCATTGAAAAGTCACAATATTCATTCCAGGACTTTTCACTATTATTCCAAAAGCATAGAAATGTTGTCCATTGAGCATTCATTATTTCTTTAATTTTCTTGTAATTTATAATTAACGGAAATCCTTCATATTATTTAATACAAGATTTTATATTCTTAGCAGGTCCTTTTCTCCAACTACTCACAGTTTCTTTTTAGTGTATAAATGTGAATACACTATTCCAGAAACTTTATTTAATAAATTTGAAGAACAGCTTTATCAAGTAAAAAAATCAGTTTTATTCAAGAGAGATTCATATCAATTTGTATTTCGCTTTTTTAAATAATAACAGCGCCCAATGTAAGCATTTTCAGTAATCACTACTACCGCTACATCATGTAAATTTCACAATTCTTGAAATAATGAACGGTGCAACATATTTCCACTTTGTCAAATTTAATCGTTTTCATGTTTGTATCAATGGCATATTGATCAAAAACATTTCATATGTGGAAGATGAAATAGTCTTGTTGACGTTTTTGATCATCAATTTCAAGTAATCGATCACTGTTCATCTGCAAATTAATTGATATAGTAAATCATAAACGAGCAATATGAAATATAAACGTATCAAAATCAAGAAAAATACGCTTCAGAAAGATGAAAGGAACCGAAACTATTTTGGTTGGTGAATAATGACCAGAAAACTACAGGTATACCAATCAGTTTTACCATTTTCTTCCTTAATCAATCTAATGATCAACTGAAGCCTAAATCATCCACCCATTGCTAGTGATGGTTAATATTGTAAAATGACTGACGATAAATCAAATCTGTTATTCAATTGTAATATACCATCAAATCTGTTATTCAATTGTAATATACCACAGTGAAAATTCTTAAACTAATGGTGATAATCATTATTAATATAATCAAAAATTACAAAGTAATAGTGATCGACAAGAATGTAATACTTCTGAAGAATTGAAATGATGAAAATGTATGCAAAATGAATTCACTCAACAAAGAAAAAAGAATAATGAAATAAAATTTGCCACTGCTACTATGACTAATGACAGTAAGATAAAAAAAAAATGAACTTTACACTGTACCACAATTGAATCTTACTCCTGTTAGCAAATAAATCTTTCGACTAGTCAGATGAATGAAAATCATGAATTATTCCCATAATGCCACTAAGAAAAAGATTCCAATAATTTCCAATAATGTTACAGCGATTTTCTTGCATAACGTACAGCTAGATGGTTTTGCATAAATAGCTAAACAGGCTAAATCTCATAAAAATTCGGCTAGGAAAAAAGATAGAGTTACCTTGTATAGGATTCACATCCAATTCATCACTATCAGAATTACATCGCTCTTGAGCATATATTTTTTTCATTTCACGTATAACTGCCCTCTTCCTTTTATTTTTTGCACCTCGTTCACGCTCCATTCGTTCCAATTGAGCATCATATGAATTTTCGCCGTTCAAATGTCGATCTACTGCATGTTTTAACCTGTAGCATTTTT